ATGGCGTGGTTTCTGCACGTTTAGGGTTTAGAGGCAGAACCACTGATGGTTGGTTGTCAAGGTTCCTTCTTACTGAAGTTATGTGAGTAATGAGCAGTGGGGCTCGTGTGGAATACTCCACAGTGGAGGCCGAGGTCTGGTTTTTGTTCAGCAGTGTGTCCTGGACTCCAGCAGCGTGCCTTCCTCCTAGTAGGGATTAAACTGATCTTTATGGAAAACATGTAAGAAAGCTTCATTTTCCATTTGCAGGCATCAGTAAGGGGAGACATGGCTTCTAAGCTCGCTGTTGAAGGAATCAAAGTATCAGCAAGTAGAGATCAGTGGGAGGAAGGGCACTGCTGCCGGGGGAGGTGTGCATGTGAAGTAGTCAGGTGTTTCTGGAGAGAGCTGAGGGAAAACTGATAGCCTAGATAGGCTAAATTACAGGGTGTACGTGGAGAAAGAACAGTAAAAGCCGGCAGTAGAAAGACTAGGATAAAACATGGAATACCTTGAAAACCCAGCTGAGAAGTGTAGCGACTCTGTACAAGGAGCTGCAGCCCGGTGTGTGGCGGGCGTTTACGGCCCAGCGTGACTGTGGTGCAGCGGGCTGGGGCTAGTAGGGGAGAACGTGCAGTGGGGAGGTCTGTCGGGGGGCTGTGGGGAGATTGTGATCTTCAGAGCCAGGATGGTGAGGATGGCAATTAAGATAGATGTGAGAGATTTTATGGAATAAAGCGAAATGTGTCTGTTGATCACGAAGGTAAGATTTAAAACATCAGTTCTTTTAACTGGGTGTACTGCTCTTGCTGACATTAAAAAAGTTGAGGGTATAAAATTTTGGACAAAATTGAGGGTAACCTTACAGAATTAATCAGTTATAATTTATTTTTTGTTAGCAGAATGCTGCTTATGTATTCTAGAATGAATATGAACTCAGTATTTAAATTATACTACCTTTGTAGTATTATTTGAAATAATATTTTAAAACATTTGAAAAAGTCATTTATTCATTACAAGATTTTATTAAGATTTGAATTGCTTACTTAGAAATACCAGATTAAAGGGATGACTAGTTAATAGCAAATATTTTTTTAAATTATTATGTAAATATACCTAAAGGATTCTAGATAGGTGTAAAATTTTCAAGAGTCTAGCCCTCCTTCCTTCATAGTTTTAGTAAAACGTTCAATTTTCATACATAATTAGACCTTGACTGCCCTCTAGTGGTAAGTGTCTTTCAAATGCATGATTTGGAGCACAGTGTGTCGGAATTTTAGGTCTTGTTTGAGTAGTTGTTGGTGTTTGCCCTCTCAGTGCTAGGGTCTGTGGAGCAGTAGGAACACAGGGTGTTTTCAGACCTTGCCTTTAATCCTATATGCTTTGTTAAAGGCATAAGTCCAGAATTTCATCTCTGAGTAGCCTTGATAAAGTGCACTGGGAATATATGTGTATTTTTTAAAATGTCAATTGCTGTTTTATTGATTATAACAGTATGAAAGGTCACTTATGTAGCATACTTACATGAGCTGGAATTGCCCACCAAGCATGTATGACTGTGGAGTGGTTAAAATCAAGCAAAGCGCAAGAATTACACGTTTTGGGGAGAGTTCTCTGCCCTTGACCGTGGTGCTGCCGGTTGGTTGTTTGCCTGTTCTCCTGTGTCCCGGGCTCAGAAGAGTGTTCCTAGATCCAATTCTGCAGGTGTTTACAGGGCGCCTACTTTGTGTTCAGCTGCTTGGTGCTGTAGGGTATGCAACAGAAATTTGTTACAGATGGCCTGGGCCTTTTCCATTCAGTATTTGTATTTTATCAAGAACAGAGTGCTGAGCTGTTGCTTCTTTAAACCATGGCTACAAGCTACCCTACACTAATGCAGGAAGTACAAACGATAAACTAGGAGCCAAAGGACATTCGGTGGAAGGTCCGCGGAGGGTGCGAGCCTATGTGCGCTGATAGCTGAGAACAGCATGTTCGTCTCGAGTTCAGGGTGGTGCCAGCCATGAGCGTAGGGCTGGTGCAGCACTTACGAACCAGCCGGCCTCTCCTGGGCGTGTATCTGAAAGAAGCAGAAATGCTGATTCAGAAAGATACGTGCACCCCAGTGTTCACAGCAGCGTTATTTACAATAGTCAAGATATGGAAGTAACCTAACTGTCCATCGACAGAGGACTGGATAAAGAAGTTGTGGTGTATTTATACAATGGAACACTGCTCAGCCAGAAAAAGAATGAAATCATGCCATTTTCAGTAACATGGGTGGGTTTGGAGGGTGTTATGCTAAGTGAAATGAGTCAGACAGAGAAAGACAAATAGTGTATGATATCATTTATATGTCAAACCTAAAAAGTACAACAAACTAGTGAATATAACAGAAAAGAAGAAGCAGACTCACAGATACAGAGAACAGATTAGTGGCTCCCAGTGGGGAGAGGGGCAATATGCAGGTAGGGATTAAGAGAGACAAATCTATGCGTGTGAAATGAGCTGCAAGGATCTGTTGCACAGCGCAGGGAGTACAGCCCACATTCTGTAATAACTGTGCATGCGGCAGAACCTTTAAGAGCTGCGAATCACTTTATTGTACACCTGTAACATGCATAATACTGTCCTTCAATTAAAACAAAGAATAGTGCAGCAGCTTAAGATCAGGAGAAAATGCCAGGATCAAGAAATTCTTCATCATTACCTCTTGCTGCTCCACAATTTCTATACAGTCCCCTATTTTTATTACCTCTATTAGTAGAGAAAACTAGTGGTACGTCTTAATGCCAAAAGAGATTGGTGGTGGCCTGTGGGCTTTTAAGGAAGTTATGAAGTGGTTATATTATTATACTAAATTGCCTTCCAACATATTTGATTTAAGCTAATATTAAAATTCGTTTGCATTTCTTGAGTCCACTGTGCATGTTTGTGGAGTCTGATGTCCTGGAAACATAAAACGGGAAAAGGGACCTGTGAGTTTTTCAGTAGTTTAGTTTTCTAAGAAACTGAATGTTCTGTACTTAGGAAATTGGGAGTTGAATCTGTCAGTGCCTACTAGAATATAAGTATAATTTCAGTTGAAAATGTTGATATAACTAAAAATAAGGACAAATATGTGAGAGCATTTTATTCTCCTGAAAAGTAACCTCTCAATGTTTGTGTAGTTAGTAGCTCATATGCTATACCTCTTAGATTAATTTAGAGAACATTACAACAATGATTTAAGGAAGCAGTGGATCAGTGCTCTATTTTTTGAGGAAATACTAACTCTGGAAATGTGGCTTTTCCTTTTTTTTTTTTTTTCTTTTTAGTATTGCAGCACTTAGAACTGTTTTCTTAAAACTTAGCTCTTTTTCCTCAAAAAAGTAGTTTATTATCCTGTCTTTTAAAAGTCATTCAGTTATTACGTAAGAGACATGAGAAATTTTTGCTCTTCACTATAGAAATGTTTTTCTCATCCAAGCCCTTTTCCCAACTTAATTGCATCAACAGCAAAATTTTTATCTTCAGAGAATTTTGTACATGCTGTATACTACATACAGTAGTAAAAATGTGTCATTTAAAAACTGTATTAATGCATTTATTTTTCAGTAAAAGGTTTGAATGTATTGCATGAGTGTGAAATTTGAGGCCATCACTGCTGGACACAGGAAATTGGCTTGGAGCAGACTGGGTGGTTAGGCGTGTGCATGTGTGTGTATATGGGGAAAGGTGGAAATACAGAGTGTTGCTTATTCAGAAACTTAACCCAGCTTAGGAAAGGTTTATCAGCAGGTACAGTTCATCTACATGCCCTGTCATCACGGCAGACATCATCAAAGAGCAGTAACGCGTCATTTCATTAGATCAGCTCCTGTTGTGTGCTAGGACCTCTCAGTCCATTTTTCTTTACTTCAATCTAATCTTAGCTTGTTAAAGATGATCTGTGTGTTTATTGGCAACCTTTAGAGCTTATCTTGATCATTTTTATTTATTTGGTCACATCAAACCAGTGGTTAAGCTTTTATTAAACCTTTATTTTTATAAGGTCTTTCCTAACTCTTGAGAACAGATGAGAACTAATATTTACCCAGTACCGACCGACTCTGGGCCAGCCCCTGGAGGCAGGGGGCAAGAGCACAGGATGCAGCACTTGGCAGCTCCCCAGTTCTGCCATTTGTTAGCTGTGTGACTTCGGTTGAGTCACTTATATTTCCTCCTCTGCGTCTAAACCCCGCTCTTAACTGAGGTGACTGTACCCTCTGTTACCCGTTCAGTGGACCCTCGCCCCCACACACTGTGACTTCCTAGGGGGTTGCCTGCTCCAGGCCATCCTGGCCCCAGGGCCCCTGGCCTGAGGTCCTGCACTCCGGGCTCACTCCTCTCCCGTGTGTCTCATCTCCTGCAGGTATCTTTTCCCCTCTACTCTGCGCTGATCTTGATGCGGGACGTGACCCTTTCATTTTCCCTCACATCTCTTAAGCACAGCATTTGTATGTACAGCACATTACAGTGAAGGTGCGGAGTTGACGAGTTACGCCCTTAGCGGTCTGCCTGGGGACTGTAGCAGTGGTTCCCTGCTCTGCTTACTTGCCGCTGTCTCCTGCAGTGACCTCTCTCCTCACTTCCTGGCCGTTTCTTCCCTCTTCTCTCCCACCCAAAAGTCTCTGTTCATTTCTTATACAGAGCAGTTTAAACCTCTTTTATTGGCTTCTTCCCATCCATGCCTTCAAGTTCATCTCATCTTCCACTACCAAACCACCAAGTGGTTGGAAGGCTTTCTTCTACAGAAAACAACAAACCCCAAATTGTACATTATCTGCCTTTACAGTGTTAGTGAAAACCCAGCGTCTCCAAAGGAAGCCCTAGTACTTTGCAGTCTGGTTCCGTCTGACGGTGGCTGATCACATACATGAAAACACTTTGTAAGATGTGAGCCAGGATAAGAGTCAAAGGTCATTACCGTCCTCCCCATAGGTTTAATTGCTGAAGTCATGGGTGTCTGCCCTCATCTTTCACCTTCTCGCAGCCCTCACCCCAATCCCTCTCGTTCACAGCCGCCAGGGCAGAGGTGTGCAGCGGCACCGGGGAGCGGTTCCGGATCTTCCGGGCCGAGAAAACTTACGCCGTGAGGGCCGGAAGGTGGTATTTCGAGTTCGAGGCTGTCACTGCTGGAGACATGCGAGTGGGCTGGAGCCGGCCAGGCTGCCAGCCTGATCAGGAGCTGGGCTCGGATGAACATGCCTTTGCTTTTGATGGCTTCAAGGTGAGTGCAGACCCCAGGGTGTGGGCCTGGACTTTGTGGGCTGCTGTGCACTGGGTGTCCACACTGCCCTGGCTGTGCCTTGTGTGGTCGGGTAATGCGAAGACCTCCCTGAGCACGAACGGGAGAAAGTAGCTCCTTGGAAAACTTCTGTCCTTGAAGTCTCAAAACATTTTCCTTCACCCTGGGAATACAACGAAACTCAGGGAGTAGAACGTGGATTCTCTTTCATATCAAAGAGCTGAATCATTCTTCTCTACCGAAAGTATTAAAAATCCATGTACTGATTAAAAATACATTCACTTTGACACAGCAGTTCCACAGAAGGAATTCACCCTCCAGCAAGAATTAATGATAGTTATAAACATTCAGTAGCCATAAGAATGCTTTTTGCTGTTTGTAATCACCAAGAGGTTTCTTTTTCAACATTATTACTCATTTTTATTTCTTAAGTTTGGTGGAAGCTGGTCAGGTGCTGCTATTTGTGCATTCTATAAATATTTAATGATTATTTTATCTGTATAAAATATTTTAAAATTTAAAATACAAAATATTTATATATGAACATAGCCACAGTAGAATAATACTAGTCATTTTTGGTTGATGAAATTCTTGGCATTTTATTCTTTTATTTTATTTTTATTTGCTAATTTTCTCCGGCGAATTTGTATTCCTTTTGAGAAATACAAGTTTTTCTAATTAAAAAAGGAAAATTAGAATAAAAAAAGCAATCATGAAGATTTGCTACTTGGGTACGTTTGTGGGAAAGCATTTCTAGGCTAGAAATTAGTCTTGTGTCTTCTAGGACAACTGACCCACTTTGTTCTGAAATGTTACATTTCCTGAATCTTGTTTTTTAATTTGGATGGAAAAATTCTGATACCTAATTTAGCTAAATAAATTTTTTTAAAGTAGGATGTGCTATGCTTTAGAAGAGTCATATCGTTTCACTTTGGTGACTGTATCCTGTTACATATCAGTTCACAATGAAGGTGATGCTTAAGGGGGCAATTAAAAGATTTTTCTGACAAAATCATATAACTAATTTTGTGTCTGTAGATCAGTAGAATATACTTATAGATTCAAAAGCCACATTTATGAAAACTGTTCCAAATGTATTGATGAAATTTCACCTACGTCTATAAAACAATGTGGCCATATGTATTCAGTTTTTGGCTGCTTATTTCAGTAAATATCTTAAGAATGTTTTTAAGTTTGATTTGAACCTTTTTTGTTTTTAGCATGTACTGAAGTGCTTCTAGAATTCTGTTTGGCTGAAGTGTCGGTGTCTTTGGTTCCCAGGAATGGAATTTTATTTTGAAACAGATGAAAATTCGAGTGTCATTTTCGATGATAAACTCCCAGCTTGATTCTCTGCCCATGATTCCCTGTATTTTGGGGACTAGAGAAAAACAACCCGTGTCCTGGGAAGCGTTCCCTGTGGTGAGACAGATACATTTCTAGAGACATAGTGTTCGTTGTAATGGAAAGTATGTGGGATTAGAGTTTTTAAATAGTGGACGCTGAAGATCACGGAGTATACCGGGTTTTGTTGCGATGCAGTGCGTGACACCATGCGGATGCTAGGGGGTGCAGAGC